GGCCAACAGGGCTCCAATATGGCGGCTGTGACACTGACACGGCCGACACCACTCCAATATGGCGGCTGTGGCACTGACATGGCTGACAGTGTGCCAATATGGCAGACATAGTGCCAATATGGTGGATGTGACACTAACATGGTGGACATGACATCAATATGGCGGACATGACATCAATATGGCGTCTGTGACACCCCAATGGTGGCCATGATGGTTTTGGCAGCCATGTTATGCCAATGGTGTCCATGACACCCCAGCCATGGCCATGACACTCCAATGGCAGCCATGACATTCCAACAGTGGCCATGATGATGTCGGCTGCCATGACACCCTAATGGCGGCCATGATGATATTGACTGCCATGACACTCCAACGGCAGCCATGACACTCCAACGGCAGCCATGACACCCCAACGGCAGCCATGACACCCCAATGGCAGCCATGACACCCCAACGGCAGCCATGACACTCCAATGGCAGCCATGACACCCCAATGGCAGCCATGATGATGTTGGCAGCCATGACACTCCAACGGCAGCCATGACACCCCAACAGCAGCCATGACACCCCAATGGCAGCCATGACACCCCAACGGCAGCCATGACACTCCAATGGCAGCCATGACACCCCAACAGCAGCCATGATGATGTTGGCAGCCATGACCCTCCCAACTGCCACCGCAACACCCCAACCATGACCGTGACACCCCAACGGTGTCCACCACCACCTCGGCGGCCATGACACCCCCCCTAACCGCCCCCGTCACCCCTCAGGTACCCCTCTCCAGGGCGACGCCTTCGCGCAGGCGCGGCGGGAGCTGCTGGCGCACCTGGAGGCGGCGGCCTGGGGGCCGTACCGCGCCTCGCCCGAGTTCAGCCGCTTCGTGCAGTTCAAGTGGCTCGAGGGCCAGGCCGTGAACGCCGACGCCTTCGTGGAGTTCCGCGTGCTGGGCAAGGGCGGCTTCGGCGAGGTGTGCGCCTGCCAGCGCCGCGCCACCGGCAAGATGTACGCCAACAAACGCCTCAACAAGAAGCGCCTCAAGAAGCGCAAGGGATAC